TGACGACGCAGTGCCCTTGATGACTAGTCCAGGCAACTTTTGTGGCTTGCCGTAGAAACTTGCAGCATCGGTAGTCCGCACTCCCCTCCCTCCCTATCCTCTTGTTGACTGAGGATTGATTGGCAGGCCCTGCTCTAAACCAGCGAGAGAGTGCTGAATAGGAAACTGGATTGGCTTGATAGGGACTACCAATTCCCCAAGTTTGTACGGTTCAACTTGGCATATGCATAATGGCGGATCAAAAGCCCATTCGCGCTGTGAGGCAGGGTCCCACTTTGAAGCGCTGGACGTTTTCACTGCTTTGGGCAGTGGAGGCACTTGTATTTTACTTCAGCAGACACTAGATGAAGCTTGTACGTCTTCTCCCGCCTTTTCTCACCATGCAACCTAGGTCCACCAACTCGCCATGACTGTGTCAATTGAAGCTATCATTGCGCTTTTTGGGCTTTTAATGGCTATTCCACCCGCTCTTTTCGCGTACCTTCAATGGACAAGCAATCAGCGACCGCAACTTCCATGTAGGTTTTTTATTGCTAAGGAGACAGAAATTGACGACGCACGTCGATAACACAAATGACTAACTGTATCTTTTACCAGATTATGGTGCTGGAAAACCTCCCCAAATACAGCTCAACATCTTCATGGTTAACGCCCAGCCTCCACACGCGACCAATGACTTCGGTGGAAACAATCAGCGCACCTCATCTGGCTATATGATGGCAACCGTACGAGGTGACTCTCGTCCTGTATGAACAAGATGGAATGAAGGCACGACAGGGGAGTGCTGTATTTGAGTTGCCAGTTGACCAAATTGGAGGTGGCAAGCACGCAAATGCAGTTGACCATCACAAGCATAGGGATCACCAAGTGATTTCGATTTGTATTCAATGCATCAACGTTGAATAACAAGTTTTATCAACCGCAATGATCAACCTGACAACGTCCCACTTTCAGATTTCAGTTTCGTTTTGCCTGTGCTCTTCTTTTACGTATGATGCCAACTTGGTGCATGTGCATTTGTGACAGCTTTCCGCATCCATGGATCAATACGATCATCGCATACGTCTTTCATGGAATTCGGACTGAGCTGTGGCTAGGCTGTCAGGGCATCTCATTGGGACTGATTCATGACTTTCTTCCATCCCCAAATCAAGCATAGCACCTTCCATCCTTTTGGAACCCAAGCGGTATTGCCTCGTTCACAGTGCCGAAGGCCAAGTGTCCCGTCTCCTCTGTTGGACTGACATCTCCAATACACACTCGCATGTCTCTAGTCCTCCTAACTTGCTCGCTTGCATCTTCCACTGACCCGGAGTAGCACGAAGAAACGTTGACATATGGGCTGTCTCTGGAGAAGAAAGTCGGATGATCCAAAACATCTGGTCCTCGCCTCATAGAACCAAGCACGGCAGCGATAACCCCAGAAATAAGCATCGCTGTGGAGGCCACAAACAAGGTCAACATCCAACCGTCATTCACCCTCATAACCAAGAAGTCGGGAGTCCTAGTTCCAGTGATGTTCTGTGTGATGATCGGTCCGGGCAAAGTCGTTCCGATGTCACTCTGGAAGTGGAAATTTCCTGTGATATTGTATGATGCGACGGAAGCGAGCCAAAATGTGTTAAGAAGCTGAGAGAATCTCTGTGAAAAGACGCGACGCCCAACGGGATATATGTCAGTCCCATCCCAGGAGCTAATGCCCGCCGCAGAATATGGTGAGTCAGGCTCGGTAAAGTAGGTTTCAAGTGCCGAAGCAAAGGGTTTAAGCTGTCGGCCTTCTTGGAGATCCCATAGGGAGAGCCCCGATCGGACAAATGTGCTCATGAACCCGTCAAACAGACCGGCTGTTCCGTAACCGGGTTGGCCTTCAGGCGCCATATTGTTTAAGACCGTGCGTGTTGTCATATTATCCGGCTTTTGCAACGGACGTACGTGTCGCGCTCCACATGTAGTGCCATGGCAGCCGACATCAATCTCGACGTAGGTGGTTCTCAAAAAGCAGGTGGCAATGGTTGTGAGCTCCTGAGTGGAGGCGTATGATGTAAACACAAGTTCCAACGGATTCGTATCAAACGGCGAGGGGGGCCGCTTAGTATAGATGACGAGAGTTCTGTTGGTGCTGTATCTGCCTGGGCCTTCTTGCCTGTATGACGCCCACTCCGTGAAGTTCATAGATGTCCCTCTCTGGACGGAACAGTCGGCGTATATGTAAGACGTCTCGAAGGCGAAAGAGTAGTTTGCTTTCGATGAAAGACCGCCTAGAGTAGCCACAGGAATACCTGCAATCGACGACCATACAGTACTTGTAGCCGACTTTGAGTCCAGTTGATACCATCCATCGTTGTCCAGTCTGTTGTCATCCTGTCTGTTGTCGTGTTCCATTTGGTGCAAACTTTGAAATGCTTCTACCATTGGAATCTTGATGTTTCCAAATAGATATTGCGGCTCAGCCTTGATATCTGCTGGGCTTCCCAATGCCGTGACGAAAGCGCTTTGGATGGAGGGCAGGAGACTGAAGCCGGCTGAGCTTTGGGGGCCTGAGTGTCTGAATGCAGACATGAACTCAAGGTTTTGGAAGAGCCAGGGCTCCGTGGCGGTTGAAGGCACCATTTCCATGACCCTTAAAGCTGCCTGACCACCGAGAGGTGAGAGGGCCCAGAGGATAATGAACAACGGCGTGAGTCTGTTCGCGGCCCGGAGTGATATCGGTGTGGTGAAGGCGCTGAAGACTGTGCGACAGTTTAAAAGATACTCTAGACTGAGTACCGATATTCCCTGTTCCAGTCTCCAGGCGGCAGCGGCTTTGAGGAAGCTGGCAGCTACGGCAGAGAATGCGATCGGGAATAGTGTGGGGCTGTAAATGGCTGCTGTCCTCAAGAGCGGGACTGGACTTTGATCGATGGGTCGTCCATTGTTAACTAAAACCAAGAACGCATATGTGATGAAAGCAATCGAGGGAAGGGTTAAAAGAGTGTCAAGTAGAAGGTGCCGTATGCCGTCCGAGGGGCTTCGCTTTCCGAGTATTCGACCACTGTTGTCTTCATTCTCAGTGTGTTTGTCTCGAACCTTGGACTTTTCCATGAGATAGTCTGATGGGTCAGTTCCAGGGCGCGTCTCGTCAGATAAGCCCATGGTGTCGGCCGTGATAATGGGTTTGTTTGACTAGAGTTTTGTTCTTCGACCTGTCGATAGCAACTGGGAAGATAACTTTGAAGAGCGAGGTCAGTTGAAGGGTCTCAAGTTGGGTAGGCATCTGGAGAGAAATACTGTTGGCGGTGAGGGCACCATGTCAACTCCAGACGTGCTGGGCTGAGGCAGAAGCCCTGGTTGAGACCCCGTGAACCAACAAGATCTTGGCAGCAGCAAACATGCCTCTGTTGGACGTGGAGGCCACAGACTAGGTCCCTTGCCATTGGCAGAAAACAGGTCCGGCACCACATTTACGAGGGTCCGATTCCTCCGACAACTTCCAATCCATGGTTTGATTGGTAACTCGCCTATTGTGCCTCCGGGCTGCATATCAAGCTGTTCATTCCAAACACATCATGCAGCCTTGACCTTTATTACTGGTGTTGGTAGCAATGGATGTTGGAGACAATGCGAGCATGTTTCTGTCATGCAGTGCATAGCCGCGCCGATGAAGGAAGTCATCTCCGACAGACTGCAAGTTACCGCCGGCGGATTCGACAGAAATGTCGTTGGTACCGTCAGAACCTAGGCGTAGGAGTCCGGGAGTCGTTCAGTTCCAGCAACTTTTAGCGGACTCAGATTAGAAACCTCGTCGACCCCCATGTTGGAGACAGCCGGGGCATAACGAAGTCCTTGAACACGATACAGTTCACAGCTCCCCGCGACCCACATCTCCGCAAATGACACGAGCTACATAATCCCGGCTGCCCCGGAGCTGCAGCTCCATCCCACCAGCCGTATCCGGCCTCCGAGTCCGTGCATCATCGCATCGGCGGGGCCGAGGGAACCTTCACAGATACACCTATCCCGATGACGGGTGTCGATCGCTAATTCTGCGCCCAAGTTTGGTGCCGAATTTCTCGCTTGACTCAGGATTATCAGATATCATTCTGAGAGGGGAAACTACGATGAAGGCGACGCGGTGTTGACGCGGAGCTTCGTCACGCTTATGTACAAATTCTCGAAGATCAGTAAACAACGTCCAAGCGACATTACCGCGACAGCTGAAAACCAAACCTAGAAGGCTTTGTTGACTGTCGATTGCCAAACTCACCCCGCGATCGCTGTTGACAGATGGGTACGGGAGTTTCCATTTCCGACCAGAGCCTCCTCCTCGATGACGACTTACATCCCGAACCGTCGCCCGCTAGCGCCGGCCTAGCCAACAACCGGCCGTCCAACCCCCCTGCGATGGGATTCCTCAACCACCGCTTAGCCCAAATAACAAGCCTCCTTCCGCCGAGCGGATCCAGCCCACCGGAATGATCTGGCGCGCTAGGGACACTTATGTGGGAACTACTAATCCAACTACAGCCGGCCATTCCCCGCCCATGAACGCCATGCCAAGAGCGTCCAGCTGTTTTGCTGCTGGACGTCGTCAGTGGCACAATTAAAGCTTCGGGACAGCAGTGCTCAGCTGAACGTGCTTGGCGCTCGAGTCTGCGTGGTCGAGCATGAGGCGTTCCGATGCGATGGCATTCGCGCCTCATCATGATCGCAAATGACGTCCTTCATCGCGGCCGTTGGGCATCCGGGGAATGCGATTCAGCGAAATTGGCGCCCCGGCAGTGGGCGCGATTTGAGCGAGTATCTGTGCACCGCATGTGGGAGAACAGCTGAGTCTAGTGCCAAGTGACGTTGCTGATCCGTGAAGTGGCTTGTGAGCTTCAGGGTCCAGACTCACGGGGTAAAGATCATGAAGGCATATATACCGACGTCGAATCACCTCGAAAAGCCCTTTTCTTTTTGCATCTCATCACAACAATTATAATAACTTATACACAACACAAATCATCAACAACACATTCATCATGGACAAGGCGAAGTCAGCAGTTTCCAACTTTATGTCTGGTGACGGTCACCACAAGACTACAGTTACCCAGGACGCCAGCCAAGCTATCACCGAGGAGCAGGTCCGCCCTCACCAGCACGAGAATGTCACGACAGCAGTCGACAAGGAGGTCCACCAGGACCACCACCACACCCACATCCAGCCCATTAAGCACAAGGAGACTCTGTGAGTTGAACTGGCTTCTCTCCACATGACTTTGCTAATCGATTTGCAGTCCCGAGCAGCACCACCACAACATGATCCCCACCCAGCACAAGACCTTCCACCACGGCAACGAGAGTGAAACCAGAGATACTCTTGACCGCGAGGCTGCGAAGTTCAAGAACACTTCTACTACTCATGAGACCACTCACACTTCACACACTGCCCCGGTTGTCACCGGCGAGCGTGTCCACCATCACGTCCACGAACACATCCAGCCCGTCATCCAGAAGGAGACGATCCAGCCTCACGTCGTCCACACCACCGTACCCATTCACGAGACTCACCACGCCAAGCCAATCCACCACGGCGCCACCACTCTTCCCGCAATGACTATTGAAGAGTTCAACAAGGGCAAGGACAAGCTTACCGGCACCAACAAGATGAAGGAGTTCGACGGCTGTCCCGACAAGCACAACAAGATCTATGAGAGCACCGAGCACACTGGGCTCGCATCTCACCACAACAAGCACGGCCATGACCACCACCACAATGGCCACCACAATGACCATCACAACGGCGGTAAGGTTGCCGCTGCTGGCGCCGCTGCCGCCGCTGGCGGTGCCGCTGCCCATCACCACCACAACAAGGAGGAGAAGCTCGATGCTACTCACCCCGATGGCCTGAGAGAGCACGGCATTGCCGGTCGTGAGGGTCACCATGACCACAACAGCCACAACAAGACCACTGCCGCCGCTGGAGCCGCCGCTGCTGCCGGTGCGGGCGCTGCCGCTCACAAGCACCACAACAACAAGGTCGACAACACGACCACTGGTACCCACGGTATTAACAACACCAACACTACGTCCAACACGACCAGCTTGCCCAACCGCGGCGTTGGTCAGGGTCAGGGTTTCGATAACCAGCGTGCTGCCGACAGCGTCACTGCTGCTCAGACCGCCAACTCCAGAGCCAACAACGGCATTGCTGGCAACACCTCTACCAACAACGGCTTGACCAACAACGGCAATGGTTTGACCAACAACGGTACTACCCGCGACAACGGCCTGACCAACAACGGCCTGTCCAAGAATGCTGCCACTCATGAGCGCGACAACATCGCCCACGGCCACACCACTGGCTCTGGTAAGAACAGCGGCACCAACACGGTGCAGAGTATCATGCACGGTACTCACACTTCTACAGGCAATGGCAGCAACTACACAACTGGCAATGGTTCCGGCCTCAATGGAACCTCGTCCGTGAACAAGAATGAGGTGAGAAAATTTGCCTTCCCTCAACAGACTTCGACTAACTCCCAATAGCCTCGTTCTGGTGATCATCACAGCCACACTACCGACACTTCTTCTGAGAAGAAGGTGTCGTTGGTTGACAAGCTGAACCCGTTCAAGGATGCTGATGGCGATGGCCACAGGGGCATTATGTCTTAAATTGCCTTTTTTGTCGATTACTTATAGTATGAACGCAGCCTGAGCATGTATCTAGTTTGGAATAATCTTAATGAATTTTTATGAACATTATCATGGCAAATGTGCAGCATTTCACGACATGGTTGATACGATTCTTTTTGATTAACACCTCTACCTGGACTATTGTGGCTATTCACTTGTCTTCACAGGTGTGCCCGGTATCGCTCTCTCCAACCCCAAATCCTCTCGCCTTTTACTCATCTTCTCGATACTCATCTTGTTCAGCTTGATTGGCTTCGCCTTAGTTGTTTTGGCGAGTGCTGCTATTATTTTGCCCCCGGGATTGCACTTCAGGTGCCCATCCAACACCGACGTCTTCTCAGCAATACTTTTAATCGAAGTCGACAACTTGGCAGCGCTTTCACCTTCGTCGACTGTAAGGGTCAAGGTGACCGAACCCCTTGCATTCGCCATCGCCCTCAGTAAGCTGCCAAGGATAACGTCGTTGCAGTTCGACTTTGCGTCCAAGTCGGTTGTTTTCGAGACACAGCACCCGGGGCCGTGTGCCAGCTCCCTAAGCACAGAGTTGAGGTGTAGCGGCAGAGCCTTGGATATTTCAAGCTGGTGTTTTCGCATGTATCCTGCAAGACGTTAAGAATTTCATCTCGGTTTTCCCGCCATTTACAAACTTACCGAGCAGCCCTGGCGGCCCAATGGGATCAAATTCATCCAACACAACTCCGTCATGGGTAATCATCCGCCCCTCTCCATCAAGTGCACAGTTCATCACCAACTCCTTCATCATCTTCCGCTGCAAGTCCACTTGCCCCAGCTCCCACGCAATATACGCCAACGCAGCCATATCCCTCCCATCCGTCGTCCCCGCAAAGCTCTCCGCGACCTCCAGCCACGCCGCCGCCCACGGTTTCAACGTCGTAATCATGTCATACTTGTTCGCGAGCCGGAACACATCATACAGCTCCTCCAAGCTCGGCTTATGCGGCACAAGCGGGAAGTTCGCGTGCACAATGTGCAACAGGATTCCCAGCGCGACGGGGTTGTCCTCCGGCAGGCTGACCTGCCACACCCCGAACGCCGGCTTCGACTCTTTGAACGGCCCAAAGAGCATCTTCTTCCACACGGGGCTGGACCTCCTCAGCGCGCTGGCGCACACGCGGAACGAGCGCTCCGCTAGGCCGGTCTGCGCACCGGCTCGGAGGATAAGGTCACCATCGGGGTCAACCTGCACTTCATCGTCGGGTGAAGTGACTGCTGTAATTGAGTGCACGGGCGGGCCGCTATCTGCGTCCGGCTGAGGAAGGTCTTGTATCACCAAGACGTCGCTGCTCATCGTGTACAAAAGAAAGTGTTCAATCGGGATCGACGTGGTGAAGATTTCCCTTCTTGAAGAGTCCGTACGTCATATTGTCTTGAAATTTGGGGGAGGTTTGCGGTATCCAGTACAGGGCCTTAGGCATTGACTCGAAAAAGTTGGCAAAGTTGGAAGCTTAGGAGTCAGAATAACTTCAAGGATCCAGGAACCATCCTCGGGTGGGTGCAACTGTCTTACATAAGCAGATCCATTGAACGAGGTATCAACTCAAATGAAACAGAATTGTTATTGAGGCGTCATGGACGACCAAAAAATAAATTGAAAAGAAACGGCTCTGTCTCTGAGTTGCGTAAGGTAGACATAAATTGAGGGATGTGAGTGCATCGTTTAGCCCGATTGGTTGGTCATGAAATTGCCACTTTTTAGAGCACGCGCTGTGAAAGTCTGAAGGAGCTGATACGAATGTCTTCGTCGCATTTGTCAATTTCATTGACTCTGTCGTTTTTTTCACTCTCATTATCTTTGATATCCTCGTTGTTCTTGTTGTTCTCATTCTCGTCGTCCCCGTTATCCTCGCCGTCTCGTTCCTATCGGTCCGGGTAGCAAAGTCCCTACAAAAATCATAAAATGGGACGTTTTTCATGAGAATGATGAGATTGATTCGGGTTGGGAAATCCTCCTTGTGAGACGTCTTTCCATCATAGTAGCCATCTTAAGCTTGCTAGTGCTGTCTGGCGAACTCGTCATTGAACAAACTCTCAGCCATGATTGCTTACTTTAAATAAAAAGTCCCGGAAACAAACCATAAGTATCAGCGGAGGACTTCAAATAATCATGAAAAGTCCCCGCATCGGGAGATCCAGCAAAATCCGGGGTTTGCTCCATCCCGGCTCCATCGGCGTCAGTGAGCGGGGGAGGAGGTCTTGCAAATCCGACTTCATCTCCTTGGTCTACAAAAGCTTCATCAAAGGCCTCACCACAAAATCTCATCTTTGCAAAGGTAAAAAAGGCCATCTTGCGTGATCGGCCCGTCTCACAGCCCTCAAACAACCGGAAGCGCAGCCGCACACATGCATTAATCAGCGATGCCTACATCGGCGCGGCACCGCTATCTCGATTGGCACAAATCCTGCGACATGTCGTGACAGGCGCGGAGTGGAGCGGCCCGGCCGGGGGTGGGAGGGCGCATGGCTGTGCAACCACCGTCTTTGAATCTTTGCATCGGTATCAATGGAAAACACCCCGCGAAGATTGGCTCGGCGGGTAGTGCAGCTCCGGGAGTCGCCAAGCGGGCTGCCGCGCTTGGGGTTGCCGAGAATATTCCCGTCCGAGGGTGTTGTTCTTCACCGTCTCCCGGCTCGCAATCGAGACCCATCCCGCAATATCTGCGATGTAAAAGGAATGCGCGACCAGCTGATGATCCCGCTCTTAATTTAACCGCCCTCATAAGGTTTCGAGTGGAGGTTTTCGAATGATTTAGTCCAATTCTGTAGCGCGAATGGTCGTTATCGCCGGGAAACCTTGGGGCCAACGAGGGGTGGTAGAATGGCGATGCAGCCATCTTGGAGAAGAATCACGCAATGCGGGACTGCGAGAGCACGTAATACCCCCGACTCCACGAACGCACCCAAATCCCCCTCCAAGGACGATCACTCCGAACGTCGGGCAGAAGGGGCCTCAAGCAATAGAAAAAAATGATGGCGAAGAGGGGGGGCTCTTATCTGTTGCCGAAGAAAACGTTGCCGGCAACGGTTGTGTTGTTATTTCACAAACCCCCTGAGATCCGGCTTGAAGTCTTTCTCCCATTTCCTGCAACATCAATACACTGCAGATAATACCGTCCGGAAACGAACTGTTGCCCACGGCGCACACTCGGATTGCATACAGGGTATTTCTTCGTCCCATAGCTGGACCAACTCACCTAACCCCCCCGATCCCCCCTTCTCGACCAATGATACCCTGAACAAGACGACGCCATGGCAGACATCCCGGATACGCAGACCGTCCTCATCCTCTATGCTGCAAAGCAGCCGTACGAGACGGCAGAGGGCTACGCCGTGCCCCAGCTCCAAGATGAGAGGGAAGTGTTGGTACAGACAGAGCACATCGGCCTGAACCCAATCGACTGGAAAGCACCGTAAGTTCCCCTTCAACAACCCCCATGCACCCGCAGCAGCCACTGACCAACACCAACACCAGAGACTTCAACTTCGCAATCCCCTCCCTCCCCTACATCTCCGGCCGCGAGCTCGTCGGCCGCGTGGTCCGCCGCCACCCCTCCTCGACCTCCCGCCTCCAGCCCGGCGACCGCGTCCTCGTCATCTCCACAGACTATCGCGACCTCCGCAAGGCCGCCTACCAGCAGTACGTCGCCACCGCAGACTTCAACGCCGTCCGCCTGCCCCCGCCCGCGGTCGTTTCCCCCGCCGCCGGCGCCACCCTCGGCGTAGCCTTTGTCGCCGCCGTCCTGTCCCTGGGCGTCTGCATGGGCGTCGACTTCTCCTCCGTCCTCGACGGCCCCGACCTGCTCTCCCTCATCCGCTCCATCCCGCCGGACGCCCTCCCCGCCGACATCCGCGCAGAGTGCCTCTCCGGCATCCGGGACGGGGAGCGCGCTGTCGCGGGCGACTGGGTCGCCATCTGGGGCGGGTCCTCGACGTCGGCCAATCTCGCCGTGCAGCTCGCGCGGCTGGCGGGACTCAAAGTCGTCACCGTCGTGGACAAACTGCGCCACGGTCTGCGTCTATCCAACCACACCGTCCTCCGCCCAGACCTCCTCGTCGACAGCCACGACCCCTCGCGCGCCGTCGACATCATCCGCGCCAACGTCGGCAAGACGCTGCGCTTCGCCCTCGACACCTCCGGCCGCGACTCCGCGACCTCGCTCCTACGCGCGCTCGCGCCGCAAGACCCGTCCCGGCCTCCCAGCCCGCCGGATACCCCGCGCAACGCGGACCCCTCGCTGAAGCACCTCATCGGGCTTACCGGCCTGCCGAAGGAGGCCGCGCCGGAGGGCGTGGCGTACCACACCGTACCCATCAAAGTCTTCCACGAAGTCCCGGCGGTGGGCGAGGCGCTGGTCCTCTGGCTGGAGCGGCTGCTCGCGGCCGGGCTGGTCAGCGCGCCCGAGGTGCTCGGCGTTGAGAGCGGGTTTGAGGGGATCAACCGCGGCCTGGACCGGATGCGGCGCGGCGAGATCCGCGGGGGCAGGATGGTTGTCAGCCTTGCCAGCGACGCGGAAACGGGGTTCGCGAGGGAGCCGAGCGCACCGCCGGCGTTGGTGGATTCTCCCGGTGCTGCTGCGGCGGGGTCTTCGCAGTCTTCAAGCCCCGAGTTCACCGCCACCGAGCCCGGCGTGAGAGGACGGAGCGCGTCCCTGTGGCAGGGTGCGGCGGAGGATGCCGTGCCGAGACACGTGCCGGACGGCGGCATCTCGTCGGAGGGGCACACGGGCACGTCGCCGAGTGCTGCTGGGTTCTTGTGGCAGCCGAAGCAGGCTGGGATCGTCGCTGAGAAGCCCCTCTCATAGCGCTAGAGGGTTGAAGATGGAACGGTGCAAGGCGGAGATCCAGCGTCAGAGGACGCGGGATAATGAGGTCAAGACCTCATGTTCATATGGGTTTAACAAAATTTGATAGAAGTAACGAATGCCGAAGATTCCCTTATTTGAGAAGAATGATGCAGTAGGCGTGATCGGTGATCGGTGAGACGGAACGGAATTGGATTGGCCGTGGCGGGAATTAGTGGGGCTACCGAACCCCTCACCGGCCGAGAGGATTGGCACCGCAGTGCTTTCCTTCCCGTTGGCATATCTCTCATCTCATCCAACCCATCCAACTTCCAAATCGCACAGCAGATGTGTCAGAGGCCAATTTTCATCAGACCCTCTTTGAATGAGGCATACCTCAGGATGCCACCCGTTGCTTCTGAGGTCCAGCGCTTGCCGCCCGAGCTTATCTTACACGTCATCGAGGGCCTCCTCCCAAATGGGAGAGCGATTCTCCCAGCCTCATCCAGCGCGACAAAGACACTCATATCTTTCACTCTCGTCTCCCGATCAACCCACGAGCTGGCTACCCGGCTACTCCGCGAACGATGCATGCACCTCGACTCTAGCTGGCGTCTCAGCTTGGTGCTCTTGACCATGTCAGCGCCGCGACTTTCGACTCTCCCTTTCGTACTTCCCCTGAAATGCATCACTTCGCTATACCTCAGCCCTTTCGGCAAGCACCTAGATGATCAGCCCATGGCACTCTGGATTAGAGAGCTGCTCTGCGAAGTATGCGGCAGCCTTCGACGGCTCGTAATAGACTGGCCTATGAACACCTTGCCCCCATGGGACGACCATCTCAACGTGATACCAACGTTAGCGGACGGACTTCACCGACTTGCCAAGCTGGAGGAGCTGGTCGTTCTGCGCAACTATCCGTATCTCATCACAAACTGGACGATCTTGAAAAGCCTCAGGCGCGTGGTGCTTTTCGATGCTCACGTCGACACATTCCTGTTGTGGAGAGACATCTTTAATTGCCGCAGCATCGACCAAGTTGTGTTTGTTCGGCCAGCCGTCGTTGAGGTTGCATACGTCAAAGAGAAGGCGCAAGACTTTCTATCGGCTGCAACCTCGAAGCGACTCAAGGTCACTCTCGCCAACGTAGAGAACGAAATGCCGGAAGTGGTGACGACGAGGTGGGCCGAGTATGATCCGGAGAACAGGATGACTGTGGAAAAGTACTACATCCCGACGTCCTTCTACGGTGATGATGACACAAGCACTGTGTGTTGCGACTGGGTAAAGGCGGCTGCGCTGAGAGGTTCAATTTGGGATTGGGAGGGCCAGCCCGTGGAAGCCCCGCCCATGGTCATTAATCCACAACCAAACGGCAATGATTGAGGCAGCGACATGGACGAAAGCGGTCTCTCGATGAGAAATTGGCTGCTATGCGGCATGGTCACGCAGAATGTGGTAACGCAGATTCTGCTAGCACTGCTTTCACAACTGCTGTCTGGCAGGTCTCGCAAGGGATTCCCGAGTCAAAATGTCTCGTGTGTAATACTCGGGAGGCGAAATCCGGGGTCCAGGATCCGGGGTAGATCCCAACGGTCCCCGATGCAGGACGGATGCCAAGACGGCGGAGACGATGGGCAGACTGCACGTCAAAGCATTCGCGGTTTCGTTAATTTTTGGGTGCGGTAAGCCTCTGCATCGCCATGACGGGAGCTCGCTTTCGGGCAACTTGTCCAGCCGACAGCGCCACGTTATTACGCAGCGTCAATCACAGGGTGATTCACGGCGCCGACGCTCGGTCAAGTCTCTCAGCGCCATCGGCTACAGCATGTCAACCCGCGCGCCGGCCGTTTCCATCTCGACGGCGGAGGGCGGCAGAAGCCCGGGCGCAAGATGAGCGCGCATCGGCGGGAAGACGGGACGCTGCGGTATATCAGACAAGCGTTGGCCAGTCTGTCAGTGCGACCAATAAGCCTTTCGAGCAAAGTCAATCCCAGCGAGTTGAGACGGGGAAGGTCTGTTCGCGAGAGGTGGTAATGCGGGGATCCGAGACATGCGGTGCTAGGTATCTCAGACAGCATGCAATTGAGGGGTAATCCGCCCGGATTTCAGTCCGAGGGCTTTCGTCGCTGATGAGTCTTGACTTTTGGACGAGAGCATTAGTGACCGTACGATGGCTCGGACAGATCGGATGCAAGCTCTTGGGGGCAGCTGCAGGCAGCATCGGCAGAACGAGCCTGGGATATTGACAAACGAGCGAGTCGACTGTGGGTGGTCAGCTAGGTGAGTGGTGAGGTACTTGCTGCGGTGCTTGCGGGTGACGTTGCATTGGATAGTTTTGCTTCTCCAACCCCCCACGTCGCAGGGCAGGGAGAGACGGAGCGTCGGTCCCCAATCAGGTGGCTTGGAGGGTGTCAATCAGTGCGATTGATGTGTCGCCCTGCAGCAAAGACAAGAGCTTCTGGGCGGCGGTTGGTCGCATAGAGAGGGCGAAATGCGGGAAGATCAGGGCGGACAGGATCGGGCGACATGGGGCCGGGTGCGCATGAGGGCTTCCAGAACATGTCGTAGAACATTTCCGACGGCGGTGGTAGAGCACACAGATGGTACGGTCTGCCAGTGCAGCCATGTGAGCGACTCTGCGATCGGTGTGGTCAGGCGGCGGTGTCTGTGGTGGAGGAGGATGATGTTGGATGGAGAATGATGTGCAGGTGGACGCATCCAAGCACCGTTTAGCGACATGGGGCACGACGGTGAGGCGGCGGTTAAGGCAAGCGTCCGTTGTGGAAAGAGGCGGAGGAGGCACGCGTGGACGGCTAAAAGGGTCAATTGGAAGTCGTCCAGTAAGGTACCACCTTAAGTACCGTTGATGGAGTCAGGTTCCTTCCCGCCAGTCAGTCAAGCAGGTCGGATCAACGGTGGCCGAGAGGGCCGAGCGGGCGGTGCCGGGACCAGAGGCTGCACCTGCGTTCTTCTTTTTCAATGCAGACCTATGTGAACGGCAAGAGGCGCATCTTCAACACCTGCCCAATCGATGGCCGCAGGGCAAGAGGTTCCATTAGTGGCGAGCGGGCCGTCGACGGAGGCCGAATGGAAGGCTGGAAGAAGGAAGCAACGTGAGAGGCGGAAGGAAGGAACGAACGAACGACAGAAGGAACGGTTCAGCGCTAAGGGTGTAATGGGAAACGGTGACGGTGAGTGGGTGGGGCCACAGCCGCCAAAGGTACCAACACCGACGGGAAGGAAGGAGGCGCTGGATGACCTTTCTGTTGTTGCTCCTTCCTTCTCTTCAGTGCCTTCACAAGTCATTACCTACCTAGGTAGCAAGAGTCAACTCACCCACCCACTTTCCCATCCGAGTCCCGATGACATGACACGATCTGACATGGCAAGAGACAGACACCTCGGCGTTAAATGCAATTCAGCAGTAAACCAGCAGGAGTAATGCCTGTTTCCTTCGAGAGACCACCTCATTCAACTAGCCCAGAGGCGAATGACCAAAGACCAAAGACCATACCTAGTCCAACGGCCAGAGTCTAGAGACAAACCCGCCCATCCATCCACATTCCGCCTTGCCAGTGTCATCCCCGCAACTTGTGCATGCCGTATCGACCTTCATTATCTCTTCTTTATGCTTCAACTGACTGACTCTCCAATCCTCCAATCCCCGATCCCCGACCCCCGAACTGTCTCTGGCCCAGTGTCTCTCCTCCTTCTACCGACGGCCGCCCCTAGCCAACTGTCTCTCCCCCGACTCGTCTCGGGGGTATTCGTAAACCAAACCCCATTCTTTGGCCATTCCTTGCCCGTCCCATCCCACCGTCCCAATTCTCCATTTTACCCCGTTTTTCGCTTTGCTTCGTACCTTAGGTGGCCCCCGTAGCGTCCGCCCTGCAACTACCTTCGCCGTACCTAGGTACTGCTGCTGCTGCACACTCGACGCACTCCCAGGCCAAGCGACCCCCTCGTCCACCCATTCCAGTTACCTGGTGTTCCATCGCAGACCCTCTTTCCCAGTCCACCGTCTCCAGTACTCCAGTTTCTCTCCAGCTGGACACTCTCGCCTCAACTCTGCCTTTCTCTCTCGCTTCGTCACCGTCTCCTCTTCCTCCCTTCTACCCGTCTGCACCAAGCTGGACCGCCAGTCCTCTCCCTCCAGCATACACCTCACCGTCAGTTGACTCGCAACTTTTTGTACTCTGGACACAAGACAATGTCGAACCTTGATACCCTTACTGGCCCCGTTTCCTCGTCGTTATGAGATCGCGTTTTCTTGGGTTCCACGGAGCATAGGTAAGATTGACTTTGCTCCTCTCCCGTTCTGCAACCCCGATGGATGTGCAACCCGCCTGATTCCAGCCGTCGACCAGGTCTTTTTTTGCAAATTGTAATGTGCTAATTCTTCCATAGGCGTTGCAACATCCCGATCCTCGCGCCCTCCCGCGCACCACCTCCGAATCCCGTCCCGTCCCTCCTCGTATCCCGAACATCCCGACCCTAGAAATGCCCGACAAAAACCTCACCACGATTTCCTACGCCGCTGGCGCATCTCTCGCCGCAATCGCACTCGTCTACGTATTTGCGCCCACTTTCACAATCGACGAGACCAGCACATCGTCTTCCCGAAGAAAGGGCGTCGTGGGTCTGCGCAATGCAGCCAACGACTGCTTCATAAACTCGACCCTGCAGGCCCTCGCCGGCCTCGGCGAGCTGCGCATATACCTCATTCGCGAGACGCATCGCAGGAATATCGACGATGACGGCGTGTACTCCCAATTGGTCCAGCCGCCAGGCAAGACTTACCCAGACTGGAAGATTGAGGGCATGCAGCGCGGCCTGGTCACCAAGGGCCTCAAGGACATGCTCGACTCCCTGAACGAGAGGCCTATCTATAAGAAGTCCATCTCGGCCATTGATTTTGTCAGGGTTCTGGAGCAGGCGTTCCGACAGCGCATTTCAAGACAGCAGCAGGATGCGCAGGAGTTCCTCCAAATTGTTGCCGAGAGACTTAAGGAGGAATACCACGCAGGCGAGAGGGCCCGCGCACATGCGCAGCTAGCCGCCTCTCGAGCAGCCTCGGCTGGGGCTTCGGTCAATGGCGAGGCCGTTCAAGAGAAACTCGAGAATCTCAACCTTACGAACGGTCACGCCGACGGATCTTCCTCCGATCTTCCGACGCCGACCGTACCCAAGATTCAGACGAATGGAGTCCACATTTCCGCCGACGAAGACGAGGGTTTCCCCATGGAAGGAAGATACGAGTCGCAATCCGAGTGTCAGACCTGTGGCTACAAGACGAAGCCGAGGGAAGAGACGTTCTACATGCTGACCTTGAACGTCCCTCAGACCAGCTCTACCACGCTGAGCTCATGTTTCGACGAGATTTTTAAGACGGAGATGATTGACGATTTCAAGTGCGAGAGGTGCAGGTTAATTCATGGTGAAGAGTCGCTGAAGAAAGACCTGGCAAAGGCACAGACCGACAGCGAAAAGCAAGCGTTGGAAGAAGCAATTCGGAAATTGCGCTTCGCAATCGACGTCGATCCCGAACATGTACCCGAGGACATTCTCTTGCCCGACATTAGCACGGCACCAAAGCGCAAAATCGCACGCTCGACTCGCCTTACATCTTTCCCCCGCATTCTGGCCGTGCATCTCTCACGTTCAATCTACGAGCAAACCTCGACCAAGAACTCGGCCAAAGTCGCATTTCCCGAACGTCTGCCGTTGGGCGGCCTCCGCGACCGCAGAAATTACAAGCTGCTTGGCCTAGTGACGCATAAGGGCAGCCACCACAGCGGACACTACGAGTCTTTCCGGCGCCAAAACACCTACGCGCCCTATTCGAACCAGAACACGTTCCAGCCCTCGGGCATTTACAGCAAGACAGCCAGTCCCGCGGCCACACCGCAGCCATCTACACCGCAACTCGGTGCAAGCCCTGCCGTGTCGACGCCCGACCTCCTCACCCCGAGCTCCGAAACGAACTCAACACCGCCGTCACTATCTTCCTCCGACGGCTCGCCAAGGGAGCGCATCAAGAAGCGCATCAGCCCCACATCCGCGCCGCGCGACAAGCAGAGGGAACCCGACTCGGGCAGCATCAGATCCGTAAAGTCCATCACAGCTTCCGCTAAGAGCACCGTCTCCAAGATCTCCCAGCGTGTCAGCGGCAACAGCACGCCGAGCACCAGTCCGCCGCGCTCAACGCCCATGGCCGTTGCGCCCCGCCCGCCCGTACATAGGCGAAAGAAGCAACCCACCGATCGCTGGTGGCGCATCAGCGACGAGAAGGTCCGCGAGGCCAAGACGAGCGAGGTCCTCGACCTCCGTCGCGAGGTCTACCTGCTCTTCTACGAGCTCGAGAGGGACAGCCCGTAGAGCGAGGCTGGTGACGTCCCAGTGCCGCTGCCCCGACGTGGGATGTTGCCGCCCGAGTACGATCCGCTTCGGCACTACACGACCATTACATCGAGACGAGTCACCTTCTGGCGGTGAAACCGCGCACACAACACGACGCCTTCACCCGAACATACGTATCGCAATTGGACATAGGCTGCAAAGCAAGAGAGGGGCAAACAAAAGAAAAGTGCATTGGCTGGCGCATCGTCATTTCTAGCATTTATGGTTTGGGTATCCGTTGGAATCCATGCATTGGGGAAGTAGACGTGTTGGCTTTTTCTTTATGGAAGAGATGAGGGATTTGGGGCCAGTAGAAGTGGTAGCGGGAAGTGTGAGAGATGGTAGAGATTAACTGCGCAACGCAGACAGACATACATGGCAAGAAACATCATTGTTGAATACATGAAGTATATCGAGGACATTTCCATCAGCACTATGTTTATACCGAGAGCTACAATGCACAGAAATGTTCAAGTATGGAAAATGAGACCAAGCAAATCTAGTACAAATGATCCAAGACGTGAACACACAGGCACTCTACTTAGACATTCGTTTATCGCGCTTAACGAGGCTACAAGGGTCCTCTGAAGTTGAGATGGTATCAGATATCAGATTAAGAGACGACGATCATCAAGGATGGAGGTGGAAACGCTCCCCAGGCCCACGCTACGTCAATGATCTGCATCTACATCGATAGCATCCCATCTAGGATAATGAAAACATGTCATTACGGAAGAACTTTGTGGGCGCGAAAGATCAGCGAAAAAAGAAAGGTTACATGTTCGATTAGTACTACCGTTCGTACACGGTCAACTCCAAAGCGCCAACATGCTAGCTCTACAGTGATCCATTCCCTCCACCCAGCGCGCGCTCCCGTTCCTCCTGTTCCCTCCTGCTTTCCCATCATTTTATAATGTGTTCATCCTCTCATTAGATTAAAACCCCCAGTTCTCGTGACGCCTACTGCCCGAGAATCTCACCGGCAATCTTGGCCTGGTCCTCCGGGCTCAATGGCGCCTGGCTGCGCACCTTATCCGCCTTTTCGGCGTCGAAGCGCCACAGCCCGCCCGTCTTGTCAGCGTCGCCGCTAAGCGGCAGGCCGACGTTGGGACCGAGGGTCTCGAGGACAGAGTCGGTGCTGGCCTGGCGGTCAGTGAAGTAGCGCCTCTCCCAGGCGCGGCCCTCGGCCTTCTCCTTTGCGCGGAGCTCGCGCTGGGCCTTTTCGATGGCGGACTTCTCGCGCGAGACGGCGTCCATGTCGCCCTTTGCGATGCCCTCGGCGACGCCCTTCCAGGCGCGGCGGGACTCGAGGGGGTGCTGCTTGTCGAGCGGGGCGACGACGAGCTTGGAGGTGGGGTGCTCGGCGGCGTCGTAGGTCTCGAGGAGGGTCTTTGAGGAGTTGTGCTTGGCGGAGCCCTGGTGGACCTCGAAGGACTTTGTCCAGACGCCGGTGATGTTGTAGGCGACGTCCTTCTCCTTGCCGGTGGGGTACACTGAGGCGATGACGGAGTTTTTCTTGCCCGAGAGCCAGCCCTTGCCCGAGTAGTCGATCTTGGAGGTGAAGCCGGTGGAGGAGGTGATGAAGGAGGTGCCCTCGAGCTCGATGAAGGGGGCGCCGAAGATGAGGCCCTCGATGTGCAGGGCGGGGAGGGTGATGAGGTAGGTCTCCTTCTTGCCTTCCTCGGGGGAGGGGACGGTCAGGACGGCGTGGCCGATCTGCTTGATGTTGATTGTGCGGGAGAAGGTGGCCTTTTGGGCGTTGTAGCCCTCGAGGTGGACGCCGGTTGGGAGGTTTGTGATGGAGTAGGCTGTTGCTGGCGGGTGGTGGCTGTAGGGGTGTTCTTGGTTAACAATGCCTGTCTTGTGCGCGGGATGAGAACGTATTGTGTATGTATCTCACCTAACCTGCTCGCTGATGAGCTCCGTGGTGCCGGCCTCGTCCTCCCATTTCCCGAGGAAGAGCTCGCCGAGGAAGGGGTTGAGGGGCTTCTTCTCGTTGCCGTACTGCTCGGAGCGGGAGGCGTACTGCTGCTTGAGGGTGGTGATGAACCACTTGGTGACGAGCAGGGCGCGCTTGGCGGCGTCGGCCTCCTTCGCGGGGGCGGCGAAGATGGAGGGGTGCTCGCACCAGTAGGAGGAGAACTCTGTTAGGGAGGTGGAGGAGAGGATGAAGGGCGGCGCGGTCAGGGAGGAGAGGTCGCCGTTGAAGGAGGCGATGGACTGGGAGAGAGGCAGGAAGTCAGCTTCTTGTTGCGATGTTCATTCAGGTTTGAGGGCGTCATCGGAGGTAGGTAGAAAGACCGGGGAAAGACGTCCGTACCTTGAGGAAAGCTCCCCAGCTGCCCTGGTTCGCCTGGGCTTGTGCCTGTGTTGAGGTTGCCATTGCGTGGATCGGAAATGTGTTTGGCGGGTTGTCTATGTGTGGCTTTCGCGATGTTTCGGCCGTGGAGGATGTCGTCAAGTCGCAAAATGGGTGTGTCTCTTGGGTTGTTCGGGGAGGTAGGTAGGCAGGTACAATGGGCAGTCGGAGGTACGAATACGCACGAGGGTTGGCGGGGTGTCGCTGTGGTCTTTGTCTTGTGCCTTTATGGGGAACCAGCAGCCAAAGTGGGATGTTGCAGGGCCCGGCGTTGGTTTAGCTGCTGCTTGTGCTGCTGCTGGGAAACTTTTGGCGGGGCCTTTGCCTCAACGGGGCAGGGGTCGGAGCTGCTTTTTCAGCGCTGCTGGGGGCGACCGGATGGTGGGACCTTTGGCGCGGTAGGGAAGGTCTTGCAGTGGGTGGTACCTTACGTACTGCCGAGAATCGTGAGAAATTGGGGGTACCTGATCCGCTTGTTGACGGGGCGATGGCTGATGAAGGTGGTGCGTTTCGTGGGATGCTTTTTCGAAGAGGATCTCTGGTCGTTGAGAAATTCTACCACAACAATGAAGCCAAATAATTGAGGAAATCAGGAAGCCAAAGGGCACCTGAAGAGAATTAATTAGAGGCCGTTGGAGACAGGCGATGGAGAGGGGCGCGGGCTGGACTCGTCGACGTTGACGTCAAGCAATGCGCACCAATGCGTCTCTCAATCCCAAAGGGGCGGGAAAGGTACAGCGAAAGGGTTGGGTGGACAGGGGACGGGCGGCGGTGGCTGTGCGGCGTGTGTGCGACCACGACCACTGACGGAGAGACGTCATCGTCATTGACGGCGCCATCGGACGGGCCGCTTTGTCAGCCATTCTTTTGGCGGATTATCGGATTATCGGAGCTGAGCCACGTCCAATGTGGCTGGTGAGCATCCACCCATCGCATGAGCAGCTTCCGTTTCAAGCTTCAGACGACGGACGGACGGCCCAGCGGGACGAAAGACATTACTGCGCAGAGACATGTGGGGAGCATAGTCCTCGAACGGGCCCGAGCTGCACCCCGCTCCGGCGTCGGCAGGATGCGATGCGACGGGGAAGGAAGCTCGGTCTCGGGTCTGCGATGCCCCATGGGGGAGATGCGGGCTCGCAAGCTTCAGATATACGACGTATACATGCGCACCGGCAACGGCGGACCATTGGTTTTCTGGAGTGTCTGGTCGTAGGAACTTCGCCCGGGTTGAATGTGAAATGTGTCTTTTTGGTGCTGTGCAGCAGTCAGCATCATACCTCCAAGAGGAAGGTGCTGTTGATTGGGTCAGACTCTGATCACGCTGGGCGGAGTGCTCGGAACTGAACCACTTCAAGACATTGTGTGACTGCGACGTGATCCATTCAACTAGACGACATCGCATCATATTCTCGAAAACTGCAAAAAGCATCTACGCCTGTGTATCCCGGGTATCATCACCATCCATCCATTTTTCCGTATCCCATCCTCAGCATGTCTCTTGTAACCTGCCAACCTCCTCACGGTTGATCCCCGAATAATGCCCTGTACTCTTCTCCCCGATGATCATCCACGGGCTCGTCCGACACTCCCTGCTACTCTCAACCCACGTCCACGCAAGACACTTCTTCTTCAGCCCCTCGCAAACCTCCAAACACGCCTCCGCATTATCCACCCCGCCGACCACATTCGACCTCTCATCCGTCCTGCCCACATAATCCCTCCCCGGCCGCACCGGACCGCTCCGAAACTCCTCCACCGACGGCGCGCCGTAAATCTCCCACAGCTGGCCCCAAAACACCGGGCTCTTGAAATCCCTAAAAGCGCCTCCGACGCGCCGCATCTCCGCCGGGTCCGCCACGCCGTGGAACGACACCAGCGGCGAGCAGAACCGGTCCCCCATGATCTTGGAGATGCCCGGCCGCTCTCCGTTGAAGAAGTGGCTGTACCGCTCGTCGAGGTACACGCCCACCTTCTGGAACGCCGTCGCGATCAGCTTGTCGCCCCAGGTTTCCGTCAGCGAGCTCTCCTGCGCGGCGGCGACCACGTCCCGCCGCGAGAGCAGCTTGGCGGCCGCCTCGTGCGAGATTACCACCGACGACCCGCCGTGCGCGAAGCGCCCGCGGAAGTCGCCCACCGCGTTGCCGATGTACTGCGCCGCGTCGGGGTTCCAGTGTGCGAGCAGCAGCCGCAGCGAGGACTGCACGAGGTACGTGTCGTCGTCGAGGATGACGTACCACTTCTTGCGCGGGAGGTTGTCGTAGACGAACTCCAGACCCCAGATGAACTGTGTGGCAAGCGTCAGTTTGGGTGTGCAGCATTCATTTTTAGTGCAGCCATTCAGAGGGAGGGGGGGAGAGGATGACTGCGTGAACACGCGGGGCAGGACGATAATAACGCTTGTAAGTACCTACCTTTAACGCATCCAGATCCCACCCGAAACTCTGGCCAATCTCCGTCGCCCGCTGGTCGTCACCCTTTTCGATGGCGTCCCGGAGGGCGATGTACTCCTGGAACTTCGGCGCATCGTGGTGCTTCCGCATCTCGGGCATCGCCATGACCCCGCCGACGGCATCATGCACCTCCACCCCGGCGTGCGTCCCGTTCCCGCGCGGGGTCCAGT